AGGTTGCAGTGAGCTGAGATTGCACCACTGCACTTCATTCTGGGAGACAAAGTGAGACCCCATCTCAAAAAAAAAAAGTTAAAACAATATTTTTCTGTAGTCCCAAATACTTGGGAGGCTGAGGCAGGAGAATGGCGTAAACCCGGGAGACGGAGCTTGCAGTGAGCTGAGATCTGGCCATTGCACTCCAGCCTGGGTGACAGAGCAAGATTCCGTCTCAAAAAAAAAAAAAAATACAATGTTTTTCTGACTAACTGTCATAAAATTACCTAAATCCATGCAGAAAATGCATGTCGTGACATTTGAAAATTTTTTTTAGTTTTTATATTTTTGAGACAAAGGTTTGCTGTGTCACAATGGGCTGGAGTTCAATGCTGCCTGATCTTGGCTCACTGCAACCTCCACCTTTTAGGTTCAAGGCACACACCACCATGCTTGGCTAATTTTTGTATTTTTAGTGGACATAAGGTTTCAACATTTGGCCAGGCTGGCCTCCAACTTTTGACCTCAAGTGATCCACCTGCCTGAGCCTCCCAAAGTCCTGGGATGGCATGCATGAGCCACAGCGTCCGGTGGCACTTTGTGACATTAACTAGTGGACTGTGTCAGTTATACTGCATACCGCATACATACCGAAAAGCCTTATGTACAATCATAAAAATTAATTAGTAAAATATTGTAACGCATAAAACCAGGAAGCAAATAAGTAACTTTATATAACCTGCAAAATTCTAAACAATTGGCTGCTAAGAAAAACTCCACAACTTTTACTTACCACCAGCACACAATGTAAGAAAGGAAATACATGTTAAGATCACTACCTTCTGATTTATGAAGTCAAAAATGTACACAGCATTATAAGGAATAACAATTGACTAACAGCCGGGCACGGTGGCTTAGATCTGTAATCCCAGCACTTTGGGAGGCTGAGGCAGGTGGATCATGAGGTCAGGAGTTCGAGAGTAGCCTGGCCAACATGGTGAAATCCCAACTCTACTAAAAATACAAAAAAATTAGCTGGTCGTGGTGGTGGGTGCCTGTAATCTCAGCTACTTGGAAGGCTGAGACAGGAGAATCATTTGAACACGGGAAGTGGAGGTTGTAGTGAGCCGAGATCGCACCATTGCACTCCAGCCTGAGTGACAGGGTGAGGCTTCATCTCAAAAAAAAAAAAAAAAAAAAAAGAATGACTAACACTGTCAGAGGGTGCAATTACCATGTCACAACTACATTTATGAAACAGCCAGGCAATACAGCAATTCTATATATATATATGCATTGTTGGCCTTAATTATCTAGTTCACTGTGCACAAAATATAAAACATAGAATGTGTGCTGGGAAAATGTTTAAACTGAGATCAGAGAAAACATTTTAAAAATCAAATTGCACAATAAAAACATAAAAAATATGATGCAGGCTCCCTGGTATGAATGTTCTTCTTGGCCAAAAGCCATGTTCAGAGTTCTTATTCTCTAATAGGATTTTCCAGCAGATGGGGCCTTTGAGAGCGTTTGGTCATGGGTGTTGACTACTCATGAATAGGACTTGTGCTTTCATAAGAAGAGATATTAAAGAGCTCGTTTTCTGTTCCTCTTTCCCCCGTGTCAGGACACGGCAGGAAGATGGCTGGACTAAACCATGAAGAAGGCTCTCACCAGGAACCAATTTGGCTGGCACCTTGCTCTTGGATTTCTTACTTTCCAAATTCATGAGAAATAAATTTCTATGTCTGAAGCCTCCTAGTTTAAGCTATTTCTTTTCCTCTTTGTTTTTGAGACCGAGTCACACTCTGTCACCCAGGCTGGAGTGTAGTGGCAGGATTCTCCTGCCTCAAGAGATTCTCCCACCTCAGCCTGGTGTCTCACTTTGTCACCTGGACTGGAGTACAGTGGGGCAATCTTGGCTCACTGCAACCTCCACCTCCCGCATTCAAGTGATTCTCCTGCCTCAGCCTCTCAAGTGCTTGGGATAACAGCCATGCGCCACCACGCCCAGGTAATTTTTGTATTTTTGGTAGTGACGGGGTTTCACCATGTTGGCCAGGCTGGCCTTGAACCCCTGAACAAAGGTGATCTGCCCCTCTCAGCCTCCCAAAGTGCTGGGATTACAGGTTTGAGCCACCGCACCCGGCCAATTTCCTGTATTTAGTAGATTCGAGGTTTGATCATGTTGGCCAGACTGGTCTCAAACTCGTGATTTCCAGTGATCCGCCCACCTTGGCATCCCAAACTGCTGGGATTAGAGGCGTGAGCCACCTCAGCTGGCCAGTCTAACCTACTTCTGACAGGACAGTGAAATGACTGAGACAGGAACAGGAGCATCTCATCATCATCAACATCACCAAAGGCTGACAAATCTGATTAAACAAAGGAAGTTTAGAGCTTGTACTATAAATCTTGCAATACTTGAAGGCATCTATAGCAATAACATGTTTTAAAAACTTTGAGGCTGGCCAGGCATGGTGGTTCATGCCTGTAATCCCAGAATTTTGGGAGGCTGACGCAGGAGGATCACGAGGTCAGGAGATTGAGACCATCCTGGCTCACACAGTGAAACCCCATTTCTACAAAAAAGAAAAAAAGAAAAAATTAGCCAGGTGTGGTGGCATGTGCCCGTAGTCCCAGTTACTTGGGAGACTGAAGCAGCAGAATCACTTGAACCTGGGAGGCAGAGGTTACAGTTAGCCAAGATCGTACCACCACACTCCGGCCTGGGTGACAGACCAAGACTCTGTCTTAAAAAAAAAAAAAAAAAGAAAGAAAGAAATGAAAGAAGTCCAAAGAGTAACTCCAACCCACAAATATATATAAAGTTTTCCAGTAAAGGTAAATAAAAAGAGAGGCCGGGCGTGGTAGTTCACATCTGTAATCCCAGCAGTTTAGGAGGCCGAGGTTGGTGGATCACTCGAGGGCGGGGGCTCCAGACCAGCCTGACCAAAAAGGAGAAACCCTGTGTCTATTAAAATACAAAACTATGGCCAGGGGCGGTGGTTCATGCCTGTAATCCCAGCACTTTGGGAGGCCAAGGCGGGTGGATCATGTGGTCAGGAGATTGAGACCATTCTGGTTAACACGGCAAAACCTCGTCTCTACTAAAAATACAAAAAATTAGCCGGGTATAGTGGCGGGCGCCTGCAGTCCCAGCTACTCGGGAGGCTGAGGCAGAAGAATGGCATGAACCCGGGAGGTAGAGCCGAGATCGCGTCACTGCAATCCAGCCTGGTCGACAGAGCAGGACTCCGTCTCAAAAAAAACAAAATTAGCCAGGCATGGTGGCACACACCTGTAATCCCGGCTACTCGGGATACTGAGGCAGGAGAATCACTTGAACCCGGGAGTTGGAGGTTGGAGTGACCCGAGATTGTGCCACTGCACCCCAGCCTAGGCGATAAGAACAAAACTTCATCTCATCAACAAATAAATAAATAAATGAATAGGAAAATAAAAGGACAGATACGGAAACTGGTGTAAGTATACCTTTTCTTCATAATTCAACTTTTTTTCTGTTGTTTAGAAGAAAAAAGCATGAAAAAACACTGTACATATATGTTAATGAAAATGCAACATACACAAAAATAATTCTGACATAAACACAGAGTTCTAATAGAGAAAGAGTAGTTTTTGCAGGTTATGGAATTTTTTTTTTTTTTCTTTGAGACAGAGGCTCGTGCTGTCACCCAGACTGGAGTGTAGTGGTGCAATCTCGGCTCACTGCAACCTCTACCTCCCAGGTTCAAGTTACCCTCCTGGGTTAGACTCTTGAGTAGCAGGATTACAGGCGCCCACCACAGTGTCCAGCCAATTTTTGTATTTTAGTAGAGATGGAGTTTCGCCATGTTAGCCAGACTGGTTTTGAACTCCTGACCTCAGGTGATTTGCCCACCTTGGCCTCCCAAAGTGCTGGGATTATAGGGGTGAGCCACTGGGGCACAAGGATCATTTGAGCCCGAGAGTTGGAGTTGGCTGTGGTGAGCCAAGACCGTACCACTGAACTGTAGCCTTGGCGACAGAGTGAGACTCCATCATAAACAAACAAACAAGGAAATAAGGGAGTCAAAGCAGGTCTACACAAAAAAGCAATTAAACACAAAAAGTAGGAAATGAGAAACGAAGAACCAAAAAAACCTACAAGAAATACAGATAATATGTAACAAAATCACAAAGGTAAGGTCTTCTCCATCAGTAATACTTCAGCTGTAAGTATTTAACTCTGCACTCAGAAGGCAAAGACTGGCTGAATCAACAGGAACCAACTACGTGTTGTCTACAAGAAACTCATAGACTCATATTAGCCTTAAGGACACACATATGCAAATATTTTATTTTATTTTATTTATTTTTTTGAGATGGAGTCTCACTGTGTCGCCCGGCTGCAGTGCACTGGCGATCTTGGCTCACTGTAAACTGATTCCCAGGTTCATGCAATTCTCCTGCCTCAGCCTCCTAAGTAGCTGGGATTACAGGCCAGTGCCACCACACCCAGCTAATTTTTGTATTTTTAGTAGAGACCAGGTTTCACCGTGTTGATCAAGCTGGTCTCGATCTCCTGACCTCATGATCTGCCCGACTCGGCCTCCCAAAGTGCTGAGATTACAGGCGTGAGCCACCATGCCCGGCTGCACATACACAAAAATCTTAAAAATAAAAGCCAATAATTAGGTATGGGGGTTGGCGCCTGTAATCCCAGCTACTCGGGAGACTGAGGAGGATTTCTTGAGCCCAGGAGATCAAGACGAATTTCAACAACACAGCAAGACCCCGTCTGGAAAAAAAACAACTAAAAATTTGCCCAACGTGGTGGCATGCACCTGTATCAGCTACTGGTGGAGGCTGAGGTGGGACAGTCACCTGAGCCCAGGAATTCAAGATTGCAGTGAGCCATGATCCCACCATTGCACTTCACCCTGGGGGGACAGAGCAAGACTTTGTATCTAAAAAAAAGATAAAATACAAAGATACGCAAGTGCGCATCCCCACTTCTGGAGGGAAGTTATCCTCACCCAGGGAGACCAGGTTCCTATAATTCTCCACCATCACGTCTCTGTATAGAGTCCTCTGAGCAGGGTCCAGACATTTCCACTCCTCCTGAGAGAATTCTATGGCCACATCCCTGAATGTCAATAGACCCTGAAAGGAAAACACATTTTAACCAAATGGTTATGGGCGGAATTCTTATCTTTACAGAAAATGAGAAGAAAAGAGAGGTGAAAGCATGGATTTAAATGCAGTGAATATTCTAACCAATCTGCGTAAGGGATTTCTCACCACATTTTGTCCTCCCAGTTGTGTTTTACTAAATTTTTTTTTTTTTTTTAGGTGGAGTCTCGGTCTGTCACTCAGGCTGGAGTGCAATGGCGCAGTCTCCTCTCACTGCAACCTCCACCTCCCAGGATCAAGCGATTCTCCTGCCTTAGCCTCCTGAGTAGCTGAAATTACAGGCACATGCCACCAGGAACAGTTAACTTTTGTATTTTTAGCAGAAATGGGGTTTCACCACAGTGGCCAGGTTGGTCTCAAATCCCTGACCTCGTGATCCACCTGACTCAGCCTCTCAAAGTGCTGGAATTACAGGCGTGATCCACCGTGCCCGCCCAAGAAACTTTTATTGACACACCAAGTGACATTCAGTATCTAGATGAGACAGAGTATGGGTGATGTCTTCAGAGATGACAATATTCACAATGAAAGATCAGAAACTAATATCTGGCTGGGCACAGTGGCACACGCCTGTTATCCCAGCTCCCTGGGAGGCTGACACAGCAGAATTGCTTGATCCTGGGAGGCAGAGGTGGCAATGATCCAAAATCATGCCACTGCACTCCAGCCTGGGGAACAGAGACCCCATCTCAAAAAAAAAAAAAAAAAAAAACCAGCCAGGCATGGTGGCAGGCACCTGTAGTTCCAGCTACTGGGGAGCCTGAGGTAGGAAGGTGGTTTGACCCTGAGGGTGGAAGTTGCAGTGAGCTAAGATCGTGCCACTGTGCTCCAGCCGGGGCAACACAGTGAGACCCAGTCTCAAAATAAAAGAAAATACATGAAAACTAGATTACTCAAAGTATGAAAATTCATTTTATATATGTATATAATATATATGTTATATATAACAAATATATAAATAATATATTTGTTAGATATAATGTATATTATATATACATAACAAATATATATAAATATTTGTTATATATAACAAATATATATATATTTGTTATATATGTTATATATGTATAATATATGTTATATATATATAACAAAATAATGAAGCCTACACAGACTCACAAAAAACTAGATGTTAATACTAAGGGTTGTCATTTTCCCCAGATTTTCAAACTGTAAAAGTTGTTCAAAATATATACATTTGTGTGTGTATATGTATGTATATGTGTATGTGTGTGTGTGTTTATATATATAAAGGCTTTAAAAATATAAAAAGTAGCAAGTTTTGTTTAACTGAAGAGGAATCTCATCTTGCTGGAAAAGGACACTTCGGCAGTTGGGGGTGGGGGGAATCTTGTTGGATCTAAGAAAACAGGAAATGTCCCATCCTAGAGGAAGCAATCACCCTTTCACCTGCCTGACCTGGAGGAACGTTCAGATATCTGCAGGAATGCAGGCGTGCGCAGAGGCAGCCACTATGGCACTCTTTATACAGGAAAAAATCACAAAGGACCCACTTGTCATTCAGTCAGTTTTTCCAATGCAGATGTCAAAGAGCAAGGTAGCCATGTTTACTAACAGGACAACATGTAAATTCACAACCAGCAGAATCAAATATCAAAGTACAATATTTACTAAAACACAACAAAGAAAACAACAGACTCTGGGGTCTACTTGAGGGTGGAGGGTGGGGAGGAAGGAGGCGGCAGAAAAAATAACTATTGGGGGCCAGACGCGGCGGCTCACGCCTGTAATCCCACCACTTTGGGAGGCCGAGGCAGGTGGATCACCTGTCAGGAGTTCAAGATCAGCCTGGCCCAACATGGTGAAACTTGTCTCTACTAAAAATACAAAAATTAGCAAGGCATGGTAGAAGGCCTCTGTAATCTCAGCTACTGGGGAAGCTGAGGCAGAAGAATCGCTTGAACCCGGGAGGCAGAGGTTACAGCGAGTTGAGATCATGCCATTATACTCCAGCCTGGGCAACAAGAGCAAAACTGATTCTCAAAAAACTAAATTAATTAAAAATAACTTTTGGGTACGGGGCTTAACACCAGAGTGATGAAATAATCTGTACAACAAACTCCAATGACACTAGTTTACCTGTGTAAAAAACCTTCACATGTAGCCCCAAATCTAAAGTGAAAACAGAAAGATAAAAACTTTTTTTCTTTTTTTTTTGAGCCGGAGTCTTGCTCTGTGCCCAGGCTGGAGTGCAGTAGCACAATCTCTGCAACGTCCTACTGCAATGTCTACTGCAACATGCACCTCCCAGGTTCAAGCGATTCTCCTGCCTCAGCTTCCTGAGTAGCTTGGATTACAGGCACGTGCCGCCATGCCCAGCTAATTTTTGTAAAAAACTTTTTTTTAAAATTTATTGTAGAATTTTTTCTAAAGTCTCATAATGATGCAGAAATACACGTGTACAAGACTTGCTCTGATGCCTGGCACAAGACTGACGGTAGCGGCTCCCCAGTGAGGCTGGAAGGAGGGTGGAGGATGTGACAGGGAACGGAGATGCCTTATGGCCCAGGGTCTAAGCTGCAGCTTTGCTTGGAGTTTTACCACAAAACAAATATACTCATCATGTGATGTTTAAATAGAAAAAATATATATTTAATAATAATTGTTGGGGCTGGGCACGCTGGCTTGCACCTGTAATCCCAGCCCTCCAGGAGGCTGAGGCGGGCAGATCACCTGAGGTCAGTAGTTTGAGACCAGCCTGGCCAACATGGTGATACCCGTCACTAATAAAAATACAACAAAATTAGCTGGGCATGGTGACATGTGCTTATAATCCCAGCTACTCGGGAGGCTGAGGCAGGAGAATCGCTCGAACCTGGAAGGTGGAGGTGGCCGTGAGCCACAATCATGTCACTGCACTTCAGCCTGGGCGATACAGCAAGACGACGTATATTTGAAATATAATAACATTATCATAACATAATAATAATAATGATAATAAAAATTGTAACCATTTTTACTGAAAGCACCTGTTTCACAAGTCTCTCCACAGTAACACCACAGTCTCCATGAGCTTAATGTGCTAAGAATGGTTTAATGAATCTCCTGCTATTATTTAGGTTGATTTCATATTCTTAAAATAATGATGGAATAAAACACCTTGTATCATTCGTATCTGTGTACGAACTTTCCATTCTAATTAGTAAGATTTTTGGAGTCAGAAACACAGTAACTCATTCAATTACCTAAAAGTGTAGTAAAAAATCAAGCAGAAAACATTTCTCCATATTGGTCTTCTTTTCTGGAATTTACCACATACTTTGTGCACATTAATACGTGACTTCCAGTGGCAGCTGCTCTAATCCTGGTCCACAGAGAACTGACAGTGCATCCAGATGTGGCCCCTGAACAATCCCTGCTGCCCAACAGCACTGACACCACGGGACCCTCACCCCATCTCCATCCATGTCTGGTGTGAGCCCTTCCCAGGACCATGCCCAGTGCCGCCTCTTCCCAAGTTCATGTCACTGGGTCACGAGAGATGGAATCTAAGCGAGATGAGAGGGACTGAGGGAAGGCATGGGTGAGGGTGAGCAAAACTGTCAGGCAGGAAGCTTCAGACTCAGAGAAGATTCCCCAACTCTAAGTCCAGCGTTTCTGAAAGGAAGGAGACAGAACAATCCACCGAAATATCATCTCACCTGAGGAAGAGCCATCCCTGACTCCTTTGCTTTCCTCTTCCTCTTCCGGGTTTCTTCCTCATGTACCAAGAGTGTTTAGAAGTCAGTCCTGAATGTTAGAAATATGTTGTTTATTGCTCAGAATCAAGAAACCCCCTCCCTGTAACACAATGAAACATACAAAGGAGACCTCACCCTGGGAAATATGGTCCCCTGTGCTGCCTACTGCACCAGGGATGATAAACTCCTACAGGAAAACTCCCACTTCTCTCCTGAAGGAGCCCACACATATGCTGCTGCAGTGGGGAGCTGGGCTGGAATGAGCTCTGCTGCCTGACCCAGCCCTGGTCCCCAGACCCAGCCCTGACCAAACCCCATGCAGATGCTGGGTGTGGTGACCCATGCCTATCATCCCAGTACTCTAGGAGGCTGAGGCAGATAGATCTTTTGAACTCAGGAGTTTGAGACCAGCCTGGGCAACATGGTGAAACCCCATCTGTACCAAAAATACAAAAACTTAGCCAGGCATGGTTGTGCACATGTGTGTCTGTGGTCCCAGCTACTTAGGAGGCGGAGGTGTGAGGATCACTTGGGCTCAGGAGTTCAAGACCAGCCTGGCCAACACAGTGATACCCTGTCTCTACTAAAAATAAAAACTGAGCCAGGCACGGTGGCTCATGTCTGTAATACTAGCACTCTCAAAGGTCTTGACGTCAGAAGTTTGAGACAAGGCCTGGCGCAGTGGCTCAAATCCTGTAATCCCAGCACTTTGGGAGGCCGAGATGGGCGGATCACGAGGTCAGGAGATCGAGACCATCCTGGCTAACATGTTGAAACCTCGTCTCTACTAAAAAAAAAAAATACAAAAAACTAGCCAGGTGAGGTGGCGGGCGCCTGTAGTCACAGCTACTCGGGAGGCTGAGGCAGAAGAATGGCGTAAGCCTGGGAGGCGGAGCTTGCAGTGAGCTGAGATCTGGCGACTGCACTCCAGCCTGGGCGACAGAGCGAGACTCCGTCTCAAAAAAAAGAAGTTTAAGACCAGCCTGGCCAACATGGTGAAACCCCATCTCTACTAAAACTAAAAAAAGTAACTGGGCTTGGTGGGTGTCTGTAATCCCAGTTACTCAGGAGGCAAAGGCAGGAGAATCGCTTGAACCCAGGAGGTGGCAGTTGCACTGAGCCAAGATCATGCCACTGCACTTCAGTCTGGGGTGACAATGTGAGACTCAAAAACAAAATAAAATAAAAATATAATAATTAGCCAGGTGTGGTGGCACACTCCTGTAATCTCAGCTACATGGGTTGCTGAGGCACAAGAATCACTTGAACCCAGGAAACAGAGGTTGCAGTGAGCCTAGATCATCAGACTGCACTCACAGCCTAGACAACAGAGACTGTCTCAAAAAAAAAAAAAAAAAAAAAAAAAACACGTTTCTGATGTGATAGATGAGTGAGGTGTGCCTGAATTCTTACATGGGGCCTGGAAGGGCTAATGGCAAGGGTTGGTCTTTATCACCCCTATCTTTGAAAATTAGAGAAGCCTCTTTCACATGCCTGGGCCAAAGAAACTTCTTTACAAGGTTCTGACGCCACTGATTCCCAACATTTAATTTTTCCTTACAAGAAAATCACAGTGACATTTATAAAATGCAGATGTGCGAATACACAGCTATTGACCTTGAAAACAGGGAAAGAGGGTCAGCTGTGGAACTAAGACATAAGCAAATTTTCTCAACCAAGAATTCATGGGTGGCCAGGTGCCATGTGAGCCGAGATCACACCATTGCACTCCACCCTGTGCAACAAGAGGGAAACTCCAGCTGAAAAAAAAAAGAAAAAGAAAAGAAAAGAAAAAAGAATACATGGGTGCTTTTACAATAGCGTTCCATGTTGGGGAAAAGCTGAGTGTTGGAGAAAAGCTGAGGCAGGGCTTGCTAGTCTGACATAATATAAAAAGAGTCTTGGAACATGAAGGAGTCCAGGGTCTAAAACCCGCTGTGGCCTTTGGAACTCCAAGCTCTGTGCCAAAGGGTGGAAGGCTGCCCTGCCGCATTACAATCTAAGCCCAAGGCAGAAAACCCTGAAGGGGGCTGGCCCCTCCACACCTGTGGGTATTTCTCATCTGGTGGGATGAGAGACTGAGAAGAGAAATAAGACACAGAGACAGAGTAAAAAGAAAGAACAGTGGGCCCAGGGGACCGGCACTCAGCGTACGGAGGAGCCGCGCCAGCACTGGTCTCTGAGTTCCCTCAGTATTTACTCATCACTATCTCTTCTATCTCAGGGAGGGGAATGTGGCAGGACTACAGGGTAATGGTGGGGAGAGGGTCAGCAGGAAAACGTGAACAAAGGTCTATGTGTCATAAATAAATTTAGGGAAAGTGCTGTGCCTTGATGTGCACGTGGGCCAGATTTATGTTTGGCTTTACACAAACATCTCCATGCAGTAAAGAGCAGTATTGCCACCAGCATGTCTCACCTCCAGCCATAAGGTGGTTTTCTCCCATCTCAGAAAATGGAATGTACAATTGGGTTTTACACTGAGACATTCCATTCCAGGACGACCAGGAGACAGATGCCTTCCTCTTATCTCAACTGCAAAGAGACCTCCCTCTTTCACTAATCCTCCTCAGCAAAGACCCTTTATGGGTGTCGGGCTGGGGGACGGTCAGGTCTTTCCCTTCCCATGAGGCCATATCTCAGGCTGTCTCAGTGGGGGGAAACCTTAGACAATACACAGGCTTTCTTGGGCAGAGGTGCCTGCAGCCTTCTGCAGTGCATTGCGTCCCTGGGTATTTGAGACTGGAGAATGGCGATGACTTTTACCAAGCATACTACTTGCAAACACGTTTTTAACAAAGCCCATCCTGCACAGACCTAAATCCATTAAACCTTGAGTTAACACAGCATATGTTTCTGTGTGCACAGGGTTGGGGCTAGGATTACAGATTAATGGCATCTCAAAGCAGAAGAATTTTTCTTAGGACAGAAAAAAATGGAGTTTCTTATGTCTTCTTCTTTCTACAATAGACACAGCCACAGTCTGATCTCTCTCTCTTTTCCCCACAGACCCCTCATGGCTTGGACGGAATCCAGGGCTCAGGGCATAAAACCCCTGATGGCCTCTGGAATGTGCCTGGACTTGCTGGTTCCTTGCTTTTAGCACTCCCAGGCTCAGAAAACGGTTGTATCTTAAACTAAAAGAACATGTTCCCCACGATCTCAAGTAGCAGAACATGTTCCATATAAACGCTAAACCACACACCTGTAGATCATGTGCTTGATGCACCACTTCCTTTCAACCCCCACAGCCTCACCACCTGCTTCTTTGACCACAAATAAATAGTGTGGGCTTCCAGAGCTCGGGTCTTTTGTAGCATCCATACTAGCGTTGGCCCCCTGGACCCACCTTATGCATCCTTAACTTGTCTTTTCTCATTCCTTTGACTCCGCCAGATTTCGTAGCCCCTGCGGCCTGGGGTTGGGTGTGGCCACCCCAACAGTTCCATGCCAATCCATCCCATATTTCAACATTAGTCCAGAAGGGACCAGAGGGCCTTGAGGGAAGCATGCACTTAATACCTTATAGCTCCTGGGCTCAAGCGATCCTCCTACCTCAGCTTCCTGAGTAGCTGGGATCACATGGATGAGCCACCAAGTCAGGCAAGAGCAAAACTCCATCTTTTAAAAAAAAAAAAAAAAAAAAAAGACTTTTACTTATAACCAGACCACCCACTCAATTACTCAATTTGTGACCAGGAAATAACCAACCTGATGTACGTTACAACCTCAAGTTTTCACCTGGTGAATAGTTTAAAATTCATGCAAGGTCAAAAGAAAGTCCTCTCTTAAACCAAACCAAGGTCCCTCCCTTTTACCGAGGGCCTATTTCTCTGTATTTTGATGCTTGTCCAGCAGCAGACCTAGACTCACCCGTCTGTGGTAACCTACCTGTACAGAGATACTATAGAAATGACTATAAATACGTATGCATGCCACCTTGTTCCCCTGGGACGCCAGAAAAAGATGGTGAGTATTGCATATTGTGGCACCCCAGCACACAACAAAGGCCAATTATGCTTACCGAAATGCCGGAAAAACCAGATTGTGAAACAAAAACCTGTCGTCCTGTAAACTGCACCATTCTAAAGCCAGACTTACCAATGTGGACTGCAGGTTACCCCATACATGTCTCTACACACCAATGATTCCGAGTCTTCAAATCATTCCATAAGCACGTAGACCAGAAGTTACCACAGTCTCCTCTTTTAGCTAAAAACCTGTTTGCTCGGGTAGCTGAAAACATTGCTAGCAGCTTAGGCATTTCCTCATGTTGTTTGTAGAAGGACTAACATAGGAGACCAATGGCCTTAAGAAGCAAAATAGTTAATGTCATAAGATAATTTAACTCTGACTCTTCCCCCGAACCAATGCTGACATGTTCAAGCTCCTCCCTCTTAAAAACTTCCATTATCAGGAGATACTGTGCTGTTCGCTAAGGAAAAGCTTTTACAGACTCACTAGAAGAATTAACTTGTTTAAGACAGCAGTATTATAATAAAACACTAAAGAAAACTTCGTGGCAAGGCAAGGATGACTCCAGATCACCTCATCCAAATCCATTCTCCTGTTTCTCTTCTCTAAACTGCATCTAGTATCAGCTTGAAGCTCCAAATACCTGGCAAGCACCCTCCAGTCTCTATTAGATCTGTGGGCCTCGCGACTACGGACAGTTGCCAGGAAAGTGGACAAGGGCTTGTGTACTTGAAACAATTAGACCATGTTTCTTCTCACTCCCACTGCAACAGGGAGAACCTTGAAGGTATCCTGTCTACAATAACATTAAAGAAAAAAACAAAAGAGGTATAGACATAAGAGAAGACATAAAAATAGAAGATTAGAAAGACACAAATTGGCCCCCTGAAAAACTAATTCAGTACTCTAGGCCAGCTACCTGGGCACAAGGTAAGTCATAAAGCCACCGCACCCCAATTTACATTCTAACTGCATCACAAAGTTGCAAGCAGTACGTGAAATCATCACTAATGAAACAGCAAATGCATCGACTTACTGGCCCAGCAAGCCACAAAAATGAGAAATGCCATCTACCAACATAGATTAACTTTAGACTACCTCCTAGCCCAGGAAGGAGGAGTATTTAGCAAGTTTAATCTAACTAACTGCTGCCTAGAAATCCACGGCAATAGGAAGGCTATTATAGAAATAACTGACAGAATTAAAAAATTAGCCCATGTTTCAGTCCAGACTGAGACAAAGTAGACTCCTGAGTCCCTCTTTAGAGGCTGATTTTCCTCCTTCAGTAGGTTCAAAACCTTAATGGAAATGGTTCTAGCCATACTAAGAATTTGTTTAATACTCCCTTGCCTCTTACCTCTCCTTGTTAAGAACATTCAATCAATGATAGAAGCAATTGCAACCAGGCAGACTACGACTCAACTAATAGCTCTATGTGAATATCAGCCTGTGCCTAAAGAAGAAAATCTGCTCTTTCATGGGGAATCCAGTAACAGTGATGCTTTCTATTAAAATCTTATTAATAACAAGCATCTAAGTGAGGAAACTGAGGCAGACAATTAAAAAATAAATATGCATTCATTCACTCCAAGAAAAGTAACGGGCAAGGCAAGGGTTAAAAAGAAAAGATGAACCAGTTTTCCTCTGCCTAGCAAGCTCACTTCAAGGACAGTTATAAGATAACGCTGTTTGCAAAGTCGAAGCCAAAGGAATGGGCTCCAGACAGCCCCCCACCTTCCCAGAACAAGAGTAAAGAAAAAAAAAAGGACAAATATGTGTATTTAGCTGTTTTTGTTTTTCTTTCAATGCAGCTACAAAGCCACTAGCTATGGAAGGACACAAGTTACGCTATGCTATAGATTACGTGACCTATCAATATATGATTAACTGCTTTTATTCTGCAGTTTTGAAACCAAAAAACCCCACTCTGTGTTTGTTGAAATGCTCAGCTTTTTAGATGTAAATCCACTGAGCCAGTGCCTACCTTAAATAAACACCCTTCTGTCTCCCCCATATCAGTCTCTCTAGTCCTGAGTTTCCCAGAACACCATCTCTGCGCCTCCTCTGCTCTCTCCATTAAATTCCCTCTTCCCTGTTATACCGCCCTGACCCCACTCTCTGGCAGCCTAGATCCCCAGGTGTCCTCCCTGCTGTGATTCTCCCTCTGTTCTCCTTGCCACCAGCACCACTCTGCTCTGTCTGCCCCGGCTCCAAATGCCTCCTCCTCTCCCTCACCCTGATGAGCCTCCCTCTTTGCTGCCCCTCTCCCAACTTGCTGTCCTTCATCTCTCTGTACATCTAGCTTTTCTCTACATTTCTCCAGTTGCTTTTCTCCTCCTGCTTTCTTATCGTTTTCTTTTCACTTTTGCTGTCTCTTGGCAAATCCCTCAACATCCTCTACTTTGTCATCTGTTGTGGGTCTTTCTCATTTTTCTGTCTCAGATTTTCTACTGCTCTCTCTCCGTCTCCTGAGCCCTTTGGCCCACACAATCACAGGAGGGTTTGCAGTAAGACGCCTGCATCCCGCGGGTGCGCATTTTCCAGGGGCTGGAGCTGGGCAGGCAAGAACACCCCGTGTCACAGGACAGACTCCGGGCACTTCCCCAACGCGGGCTCAGGAGAAGCGGTGACTGTGGAGGGGAGACCTGTGGAACTGCAGGGCCCGGCACCAGGAGGGAGGTGAAGGGGCGATGGCGTCTTAAGACAAGGGTGGGGTCTGCAGGATCCCAGGACCAGGCAGAGGACGCGGCCTTCCCGGGACTGCGGCAGCGGTGCTGCGCTCCAGGGGCCTAAGAGGGCGAGAATCCACCTCTCGGGTGAGGACTTTAAAAAGCGCGCGGCGGGAGGAGTCAGAAAAAGGTTTAGAGCAGGAAAACTACGCGTTAGAAAGTGTATACAGTGCCCTACAGCAGAAAGACCCGGGACTGGACCAGCCTCAGGGCGACCTTAAACCCAAAAGGAAGCGACCCCCGGCCTCTCACGGGGATGTCTCAATTTGCTCTGGGTGAAGGAAGACGGCTGCGAATTTCCAGGTTTGTGGGGATCCCAAGTCCCAGGAACAGAAGCTCTGGGGATCTGGGAAGCGCAGAGTTAATACAAGACAGGGCGAAACTCACGCGCCGCGGCGGTACTGTCACTCCACGCGATCCGCTTCCTGGTCTGCGCGAATCTGCGCGCGCAGGACAGAAGCCAAAGACCCGGGATTTGACCAGCCTCAGCGGACTTTAAACTCAAAAAGGAAGCGACTCCCGCCTCTCACGATGTCTCAACGGCTCTGGCTGAAGGAAGACGGTTGAATTTCCAGGTTTGTGGGGGATCCTAAGTCCCAGGCACAGAAGCCCTGGGGGATCCTGGGGGCGCAGAGTTACAAGACAGGGCGAACTCACGCCGCCGCTGGAACCGTCACCCACGAGATCCGTCTCCTGGTCTGGCGCAATCTGCGCGCGCAGGACAGAAGCCAGGCCTGGGCGGAATCTGCGAGGAGGTGGGTGGGGCCTGGGTGAGGTAGGGGCGGGGCGCGAGGCGAGAGATCTTGCTCTTTAGAACCCGGGCAGAGGGCGGGCTGGCGCGGACCTGTGGAGTGTCTCTGAAGCCTTGTTCCTGCACCTGTTTTCAGGTTCTGAGGCAGACTGTAGCCAGGAAGTGCTGCTGAGGCAGAACATCCAAAAGCCCTGGAATTGTCTGGAACGGGATGCAAACTGAATGTAAAACGTAAGGCCCGGCCTGGGCGGAACGTGAGATTTCATGCTGTCCGCCACAAACAGAACAAATTCTCTCCCTATTCTCCATTCACTCGGGAGGGAGAGTTCCACCTGTGCTCAGCTTCAGAGGACTTCCCTAGGACCATCGCCTGGGATGCAGGAACACTTGACTGCCCAGGGTCAGCGAGGAGGACCTACTGATAAACACAGCAAAGATGCGGCGCTGGGGCGGAGCCTGGGAAGTCCCAGCTACTCAAAAGCATGGAGGATTATTGGCCTGGGGGTCCAGGCAGGCTTGTGCGATGTGGCAACACCTCTGTCCTGCAGCCCTTCCTTGTCTCTCTCTCTTTTTTTTTTCTTCATTTTATTTTAACATTTTAAATAAAAATTTTTACGGTGTGAGATTATTCTTTTCCATGTAGATAACTGAAGAAGGTCCCAGCACATTTGTGGAAGAGATCTGTTGCTTTATTTCTTTTCTTTGGCTTTGAGACAGAGAGCTCTGTCGCCCAGGCTGGAGTGCAGTGGCGGGATCTTGGGCCTACTGCAGCCTCTGCCTCCTGGGTTCAAGCGATTTCCTGCTTCAGCCTCCAGAGACCTGCCATTACATGCGATGGCCGGGCCATGCCCGGCCGATTTTGTATTTTGGAGGCGGGTTCACTCATGTTGGGCAGGCTGCTCAAACCTGACTTCAAGTGATCCACCTGCCTCGGCCTCCCAAAGTGCTGGGATTACAGGCATGAGCCACCGCGCCTGGCCCCCAAAAATACTTTTTATTTACTAATTGTTGAGAAAATATAACGAAAACAAAAGTCTTCTCTAAATGATAAATCATCTCCACTACATTTAGTAATAAAGAAATAAAACCATTTCACTGATAGATAAACCTTAGACCAGATTGTGATGCTAAATACAGAATAGCTGGTGAGGCTGAAAAAGGAAATAAACTTCACTTTTCTATACAACCCACTAAGTACATGTTTTCAAGATAAATACTAATCAGTCCTCAGGAAGAGGACTGAACACTCTTGGTCATAATGAGTTCATCCTGGCCTACATGGCAATGAGGTGACCATCTGTGTCAGCTAATTAGCTTCATCCTGAAGGAGGGGGAAACCTGCACCGGCGTTCTCTTGATAAGTGTGAGTTTTACAACATGGCACAGGTGCCTCTCTGGGTGTGTGAGGCTCTAGAACTGAGAAACTGATGTCAATAATAAAATAATAAAATTTAGAATATATGATTAAGAGCAGTTTATGAAATACAAAGCGAGGATAGCCACCTGAAACATCAACTCTAAATGAATGGGGATGAGCGAATTAAGTAGAGATGTTTAGGTTCTGTTACAGGGAAAAGACAGAGAAGCTTTCTTTAGCAGAATCACCACATTTTCCATTCAAGACTATGCATGAGTGCAGCAAGTTGACTGGTTATTTTCACTAGCCTAGGTGACAAAGTGACACCCTGTCTCAAAATAAAGAAATACTTCATAAAGCATTTTCTATTATGAAGAGTTTGCCATCTTGGATGTGTCCTATTTTAAGTGTATTTCATAATAAATTGCTCTGCTATGAAGAACAGGACATGATTACCTCCATAGTCTTCAGCAATCTATGAGCCAGGCACCACCATTATAAAGACTAAGAGGACTCAAGCACAGAGATGACATGATTTGTGTAAATTGGACAATTGTGCTTTGGGGTGTGGAATGGGACTGATCTTGTTCAAGGATTTCAGAGTGCATTAACTACCATGTCATACTGTCAAAGCTAGTTAGCAGAGTTCTTCCACAATGAAGATATATATTTAATTTTCATTTCACTTTGTCTCTATATTTTTATACAGGTACATTTAATTTAATTTGTTTTTGACCGGCTCTACTGATGTGTCAAATATTACCCCAGAGGCTGATACTCAGTTATGAATAAATCTTAAAGACCTTGATTAAGTGTAGATACCTGATTGGAGTATAAATACAGAATCTGCCCATCACTAAATTAGATTTAAAACAATTGACTTCTACTAGGATAGCCACAGACTCACTCTTTTTATGCCAGGTTAAAGCACAATGGCACCTACCACAGGAACTCCAATGGACACTCTGATATCATGTCCTAACCACCTGACGCAACACTAGGATGACTGAAATAAAAAAGGTAGGGGTAGAAATTAAATTATCAGTGGCTCCGGCGCGGTGGCTCACGCCTGTAATCCTAGCACTTTGAGAGGCCTAGGCAGGCAGATCACCTGAGGTCAGGAGTTTGAGACCAGCCTGGTCAACATGGTGAAACTCCGTCTCTACTAAAAATACAAAAATTAGCTGGACGTGGTGGTGCGTACTTCTGTAACTCAGAAGCTACTTGAAGGCTGAGGAGAGGAGAATTGCTTGAATCTGGGAGGCAGAGGTTGCAGTGAGCGGAAATGCAAGACTGCTCCTCAGATCTGGGCTACTTGAACAATATTTGGTCCCAGAAAAAAAAAAAAAGGAAAGAAAGCAATGGACTTGTGAGCATAACTGAATACCAAATAATATATAGAAAATATTACAGAAACAGAGTTTAATAATACTTCATATATATATTACTATATAATTATACTGATGTATACTTAATTATATTGATGTATAGTTATATAACTATGTAAAATATAGTATTGCTAACTGCTTTCTAATTAACATATGCACCTCACCAACTTACTGCACATGTGATGAGAACCGGATATTAGAGTTTTCAAGCCAGACAACAGCATTACGAAGATAATCCAAGACTGACAACTGCTATCTAAAACTACTATTAGAAACCTCTGTTCCCCAAACGTTGCCTTCCTAACTCAAAGAATGAAACAGTCTCACTATAATCAACAGACTTATGTTTTCAATAGAGAAACAATGACTTCCATTTAGCCCTTCAGAGGAGAACTTGAGATAATACCTTTATGCCAGCAACTGCCACTTGAGGGAGCAAGTGATTCCGCACAGAATTAGGTAATTCTTGTAGATTTATCCCAATGATTTCCAGCATTAGGGTCATAAGGGCATACTTCTAATTATCCTTAATAGTCTTTCTATGATTTGTGAAGGGCTGAACCACAGATAGATTTTAGAGTTCCAGTCTTCAAGGACCTTAAAACCCAGGTTTCATCATCATGTGGATTAACATTTTAAAATCATTATTATGAAGGATTAAACTAAACTACTAGGAGCCATCAGGACGGGATAGGGTCTAATAGTCCCCAACTCTCCTTCCTGGCTCAGCCTATGCCCCAGGAATTATCTCCTCCTTCCTGTGGCTTTGACATTAGGGACTAGTTTCCCAAACCCTAAGATTCCCTTTTCTTGATGATCACTTATCTGACCTTTTTTTTCCCAAGATGGAGTTTCGCTCCTACACCAGGCCAAAGGAAGGCATGATCTCGGCTCATGATAACCTCTGCTCCCAGGCTGGGGCGATTCTCCTGCCTCAGCCTCCAGAGTAGCTGGGATTATAGGCACCCCACCACCAAGCCCGGTAATTTTGTACTTTAGTAGAGATGGGGTTTAGCCATGTTGGCCAGGCTGGTCTCGAACTCCTGACCTCAGGTGATCCACTCCCCCCTTGGCCTCCCAAAGTGCTAGGATTACAGGCGTGAGCCACCACACCCGGCCACATCTGGACTTCTTATATACCTCCTTCTCATTCCAGACTCTGCCCAGGTCAAACTGAAGTGATAAAATACTTCACCTGACCCATCCTTCCTGTCTGGATGGTGAGCCCAGTGACTTGGCCATGCCAGTCAGCATTATATGAGAGGGCAGTGCAGCCAGGCTATGGATATGGAATTTGCCCTGTGTACTGACCTGCTCTCACAACTGCAATGATCATTTTACCTGTCACAGGCTTGCGCAGTCCTAGGACGCTATTATATTTTTAAAATCTCTTATTTCCTGTTGTAATTACTTAACAAAACATTTACTAATTCCTTTCTGAGGGATTTTAGAGTGCAGGGGACATTTTCTTGATCCTTGAGGCAGAGAGGGTTCACAAGAAGGAAGCAGGAAATACTGAGTCTGGGTATGTCAGGCACTGCAATACATGCCATGAGGGTCTGTAGTAGATTCTCTGCCTCCAGAGGTTTTTCCACCAAAGTGGTAGATTTCTTTATAATATTTAGATCTTTTATAGTTTGCTTTATAGTAGATGACTGGAATCAGGGCAAAGACTTAAGATGATTTTGAAAGATGAAGGAAGTGAAGTAATAATGACAGTTTATTAGTTTAAATTAAAAATTTTGAACTTATTACCCTGCCTCCAGTTAAATAGGACCTAAAGACAGCTATATCATCTCGACCCATAATCTCATTACTGGATATATGCCTAAAGGAATATAATTGTTCTATCGTAAGACGCATGCACATATATATTTGCAGCAATATTCACGAGCAGCAAACATGAAGAAATTTAAATGTCATCACCGGTGGACTGATAAAGAAAAATGGTACTATACC